GCCCCTCTGATACCTGGTCTCCAGGTGGGCACAGTCCTGTCCAGACTGAGCGACGCACTCCCCACATTGGGACTAGGTGTCCCAGGCAGCCCGCCCCGACATGGCGGTGGCGCTGGCTCCCAACTGAAGCCGACAGGTGATGCAGGTTCCGTCCAGACTAAACCAGGGCAGTTCAAGCCGAACCCTAGGGATTGGGGGAAACAGACACGCTTACACCGGAGGGAAAAAAGTGGGTGTAGGAGAAGTCGATCTGGGAAAGACGTGCGCACACAAATAAGATGTGCCTTAAGTAGGAGATTATCATCTCACTGTCTTCCAACATTCCCAGAGCACAGTGTTTCTGAGTCTCGCTGTCGATTCTCACTGCGGCCGGCGGTGCGGGGCGTGAGCGCGGAGAGGGTCCAAAGCATATGGTCTAGACGCACACAGGTAACAGCGACCCGACGTGTGTCCGGTACCGGAGGCCGGCCGGACTCAGGGTGTGCACCACGCATGGCACGAGCCTCCGAACCACCAGGCTCTCTTGCTGTCCACTCCGGGACCAGCTCTATGGTGCGTCTGCGTCCTCATCGAGGGTGCCTTTCCAGCGCTGGGTCTTTCTGCTGAGGCCCGTCTTCCGTCCTGAACGACCAGGCCCGAGTGCCCGGGTGGCAGTGCAGGACAGAGAGCCCTCCGCTTCCTGCCAACACCGCTGCGCGCGCTCCCACAGCTCCCTCCCCCCACCCCCCGCGCTCGGGTTACAGGTTAATGAAATGCTCGTTTTCTTCAGTCATTTGTTTTGTTTTCCTGCAAAGTTCTGATAAGTAGCTAACCAACGAAGCTTGTAATTACAATCTTACAGAAACCGGGCCGATCTGTATATAAATCTCACCATCCAATTACAAGATGTAATAATTTTGCACTCAAGCTGGTAATGAGGTCTAATACTCGTGCATGCGATAATCCCCTCTGGATGCTGGCTTGATCAGATGTTGGCTTTGTAATTAGACGGGCAGAAAATCATTATTTCATGTTCAAATAGAAAATGAGGTTGGTGGGAAGTTAATTTCTCTCCGCTCTGTGAAGCGTAGACAAGAATTTAATGATTTAATTACAGTTGTAAGCCCTTTCCATGAGACTTAAATTGAGCTGAGAATATTTTTTTCCTTTTCTCTCTCTCTCTCTCTTTCAGCGTTCTCTCCCTCCGCTATTAGCAGCCGTGCTGACGCCAGAGGTGGCTCTGCGGCGTCCACACCCGCAGGGATTCCTATTTGGTCAGGAATGGACCAGAGCATCCTAGGCGACTCAGGCCAAGGACCCCAGAGCCGCTGGGTGGAGGGCCACCCTCCCCCCCCCTCCAGCCCCCAGCAGCTGTTTAGGCTTCAGTGTGTCCGGAGAAGTGACTGGGGGTGGGGGGGTGGAACTTATGGGAAACTTTGCCAACTGCCTTCTTTTGATCTCCGCCAAGGAGAGGACATTGTCGCAGTTGCGGAAGCAGCGGCGAGCGCAGGGTGGGTGTCAGACCAGGCCTGGGTTCTGGAGGGTGGATCGCGCTGGCCCAGGAGTCTGCTTCGTGGAGGTCCCAGCCGCAGGAGACACACAGCGCCCAGAAGGGTCCGGGTTTAAAAGCCTGGCCCTCAGAGCGAATTAACTGTATTTCTCTCTCCAGGATCAGCCTTTTCCCACTTGACCACTCCCCCTTCCTGGTGTCCCTATCCATTCGATTTCGTGGTTAGTTGTTTTTTGTGTTTTCCTTCTCTCCTTCCTTTATTCTTTATTCTTTTTCTTGGAATGGCTTTTTAGATCATTCTTCTCCGTTCTGCTCTTCCTCCTCTCCCCTAGCTTTCTGTCTCTTCTCTCCTGTGTGTCGGCGTGCCTCTGCCTCTCTCTCACACTCTGGTTTTCCTTTCCCATCTTCATTCATTTTTCATACAATCTCTTTCTTCTCTCTTTCATCCTAACTCTTCCCGATTTCCTGCGTCCGTTTCTTTGTTTGTCTGGGTCTCCTGCCCGTGTCTAGGCTTTCTTTTTCTTTTACTCTCTGGGATTTGCGTCCCCCACCCCACCAGGCGGTTGTGCCTCCTTCCTTCCTGCCCCCACAAGGAGGAGCCCACCATGTAGCCTTATTGGATGCTGAGGGCAGACCCCAGTGAGGGCTTGGTCAGCAGTGCGCATTTTCTTCATGCATATTGAGGGGGTGGTAAAGAGCTTGTTTGCATTGCTGCATGGAAATGCTGCATTTTCAACCGCCTTTTTGGAGCTGGCTGGTACTGTGGCCAGAGAACCCCACATGGGCCCTGGAGTTGCTGGGTGTTGGGGTCCAGGGCAAGAGTGACTTCGTGTACCCAGGCCTCGCTGCTAACTTCCCTCACCTTGTTACCAAGCCTTGCCTGATGCCTCCTGCCCAGGGACCTCTGAGGGCTCGAGTTCTAGTCTAGAGGCCGGTGCTGATAATGGCAATAAATTGAGATTCCAAGTAACCTGTCTTGATCAAACATAGCCATATTTTGTACCCACCTCTGTTGGCGTCTGCTTAACCTTGGAGGGTGCTGGGATCACTTGTCCAGGAAATGGGAGGCTCAGAGAAGACCTGGTGACAAAGTCCCTGAGGCAGGCCGAATTTGAGTTTAGGAGATAAACTCTTGGAGAGGCCGGGGTTTATGAAAACTTTGATGGTACAAACTCTGACCTGGGCTCAGAGGGATAGAAATTGGAGCTCCAGATTGAGTGAGACCCAGTCCCTGGGTGTTAAACATTTGCTTTAACTCTCCTAGGGGTTACAAGTGGGGCTGCTGACTGCAAGGTCGGCATTTTGAAATCAAAGAAGAGGCTCTCTACTCCTTTGAAGAGTGGCAGTCTCAGAAGCCTGCAGGGCAGTTCGACCCTGTCCTACGGGGTCACCATGCGTTGGAGTTGACTCGATGGCAGTGAGGTTTGTTTCCTTTCTTTCTTTCTTTTTCCCTCATGCTTGGTTGTAAAGCGAACATGTCAGGACTTGACGTATTCTAAAATTGTTCGGTGTTGGTTTCCCAAACTTAGAGCCTGCCACTACCACCTCTGCTATTATTTATTTAACATTTCCCCACAAATCAACTCATTAAAAAATAAACACCTAAATACATGATTTTGGAAAGAAAACTTGGTACTGACTACTGTGAATGGAAAAGCAGTGCTTGCTCACCATACACAGACATTGTAAAGATAAGGATGACTAAAGCCAAGCCGTGCTAGTACAGTTCAGGTTGTGTTGATTACTCGGGAGAGACTTCTAGAAGGGTGTGTGTGTGTGTGTTTCTCTGTGTTAGCAAATATCTGAGATGTTGACATTTGACTTTGTCTCGGAAGAAAGGGAAGAACGGAAAAGAGAATTTTTTTCTCACTATTTGATGTCAATTAATTCTCTGTCTCCACACTTGGGGACCCTAAGTGCTGTACTGGTTTAGGGTTTGCAGGTGCTGTGTTTTGTTTGTTTTTTACCAAAACAAACCCAACCCCCCAAACCCAAGCTCCAAGCTCCCTGCCACAGTTTATTCCAATTCATAGTGACCTTTTGGGCATAGGAGAACTGGCCCTTTGGATTTCTGAACTTTAACATCTTCTGAGAGCAGAAAGCCTCACCTTTCTCCTTTAGAGTGCTTTGTGGATTTGAACTTCTGACCTTGTTAGCAGCTCACTAGCCACTGGCACGCTGTATGGTTATTATTTTCTAAGATAATAAAAAATAGCACCTCGAGTCCACATTATTTACCAACGACTTGTGCCAAAGCTTTCCCACAGAATCTGTCATTCCCACAATAGGTGTGTAAAGGTGAGACTACAGGATGGCCACGCATGGTTGCATCGGCTGTTCACTGCAAGGGCTCCTCAAGCGGTGTGTCTTGGCTTAGGGATACACTAGAGAAAAAGTGCCTTTCTAAATTTGCACAAAGTCGGGGTATGATCTCTTCATAGCCCTAGCCTCCGAGGTGGGGAAATAGGGGCTGACAGGGCTAGTCAAAGCCCACAGTGGGCTCCAACTGATCTGTTCCTAACCAGAAAGAGCAGAGTCTTCCAGGAGTATGGGGGGCGGGGGCGGGGGCTGTGCTGGAAGTTTGGGAAGGAGAGACTGAATGTCTGCTTGCTGGGTTGACCGAAGGAGCCTGGCAGTTGGGCTACCTAACTTTGCTTTGCCTCTAGTTCTCACTCGGAGAAGACTTGGGCAAAAATGCAACGATGATCAAGGATCATTATCTCTCCTCCCGGGTTGAACTAGAGAAGGGGGAGAATGGGTTCAGGTTAGCTAGGGCCTAAATATGTGTGTTTGGATGTGTTCCTTGTTTTCTTTGGTTTGGGCTACTGTGTTAGTCTAGGTAGACTGGAGAAACAAATTCATAAACATGCATATGTGTATAGAAAAGAGCTTTATATAGAAGAACAATTGAATATTGAGAAAACATCCCAGCCCGGTCCAGATCAAGTCCGTAAGTCCATTATTAGCCCATATATTTGATACCAATCTATAAATTCCCCTTCAGATTCATGCAACACATGCAATGACGCCGAATGCAGGAAGATCACAAGGTGGAAAGTCTTGGGAATCCAGTGACATTGTAAACATCTCAGCGTTGGCAGGGGTCTCCACGCAGTCCGTCCAGGTCAGGGCACGAGTTTAGTTCCATGTGTCTTGTCAGCTGCAATGTCTCCCGGGTGTGAGCCAAGAGTCTCCTGCCTCCATGAAGGAAATACAAGAGTTCCCAGAATCATTAGGAGAAGTCCATGCCCACACAGAGGACTCTGATTGATACGCTAGACTACACACACCCCTTCACTCATAATCCGCTCAAATTGGCAAGTGATTATATATCTATACTGTCAGTGAAGCAATTGGAGGTGGTGGTGGCAGGAAATGGTGCCTGAAAACCCCAGTTTCCCATCCCTACATGCTCGTGATGCTGAGGCCTGGTCTATTAAGTCCTAGGGAGATTAGGCCCCAGTGCCCCAGAAGCAACCAAAGCACCGTCTGGCTGCTGTCTCTCTTCCTGGATATGCTCCCTTTTGCGGCCCAGGTCGCCCACTTGGTCTCCCTCCCTCCATTAGCCACAGGCAGGTGAGTCTGCTGTCCCTGCATCCCAACTTCAGCTGGGAACATAGGCTAGCTTGGCTGTTAGACACGCCTACTCTCTCCCAGTGTGACGACAATGGCCCAGAGCAGCTAAGTGCCTCTTCTTGGCTCTTTTCTTTGCCTCTCTCTGGGCTACCTGGGAAACTCTTTCCGTGGTGGGTGATGTTGAAGCTGGGATTCAGGAATTTTGGTAAGGAAGCGCTCTGTCATCTGAGAGAAGGTGCCTGGGAGTCCCAGTGGACCTCTTCTCAGGTTTCTGGAGAGAAAACAGAAAGGCTGAGCCGCAGTTAGAAATTACTGGGGAGCCCCAACTCCCGATTCCCGCACACCATGTTGGGAAAGGTCAAACCAGAAAGTTTGCTTCTTCCCTCCACCTTTCTCTTTTGCAACATATGTTGATGGAGTGCCTCGTCC